GCCCCTGCCGCGACCCTGGGCCGTGTGCAACCCCGGCCCCAAGTGTCCTGGATGTGGACCGAGTGGCTGGAGCGCGGGCAAAAGCAACTGTGGAGACGCTGCCTGATTGGCTGTGAGTGTGGACAGATTACTGAAAAATGTACTGGCTCGGGTGTGGGCGCTGTGTTGTATCATAAGAAATGCTGGGCAGTAAGGCTTTCTGTCACTTGCCTGTAATTCCAGCACTCTGGGAGGCTGAGGCAGGAGGAACAAGAGTTGAGACTAGCCTGTGCTGAGACCCAGTCTCAAAAACAAAACAAAGCAAACAAAAAATAAAGCACATAAAAAACTACAAACAAAAAACCGAGTCTGTTAATGAATATACTCACTGTATATTTTATGGTGTGTAAGAGGGATTGTATTACGGGTATCATGTGTGAGATCCCATTTAATCTTATAATTCCCCTTGTGACAGTGACTGCTCATTTTTACATTTACTTATTGGTAATATATGGGATTGAACCTAGGACCTTATCACTGATCTACATGCCTATCCCACCTGCCTTTTTAAACATTCTGAGAAAAGGTACACAGAATTGCTAAGAGTACCCTGAATTTAGTGATTCTTTGCCTCAGCCTTCCACAGGGCTGGGATCATAGGACTGCATAGGTAATACAGGCTTATTTCCATTTTAGAGATGAGGGGCTGCCCAGAAAGGTCAAGCAATTTGCCCAGGTTCACAGGGCTAGTGAATGCCCAATGCAGTCCTCAAAGCAGAGGATCCAACAGGTGCTAGAAGACATCTAAAAATAGGCATCCCAAGGAGGGAGAAAGTCACAAGTGATGTCCTGAGGAAGTTCCCCAGGAAGCCCCAGAGTGAGTAGGGAAAAGTAAGAGAGGGTCCCTGCTAAGGTGCAGGATAAGCTCAGGGGGAGGTGGAACAGAGCTGGGAGACCTGGTCCAACCAGGGAGGAAGTGGGCCAGGCTTTGGGCTGGAGGACAGGAAGCCTTGGCCATGCAGGCAGGGGCGCGGAGCTGTGCTGACAGCTGGCACTGCTTTACAACTCCGGGAAGGGAAGCCCTCAGGGACTTTGTGCCCCAGTGCCTGCTGTGGAGAAGAGGCACAGAGGTGTTGTGATTCCTCTCTGGGGAACAACCTCCTACTTTTTTGCCTGCACATATTCTGGCCTCTGTACAGTGGCCTCAGATCACCATCCTTGGAGTGTGTCATCTGAGCAGCCAGGACATGTACTGGGAGGCTGTTTGGCAGGTGTAGGGACTGCAGAGAGATGAGGAGGTCAGGCTGTCCCCACAGCCCTTACTGGAAGCTCCCACGGAAATGTCTCTGTGACTCAGCTCAGACGTCACATCCTCCTGGGAGCATCCTGATCCAGTGCCCACAGATGCCAAGGGAACGTGCAGGTAAACATGTTGTCTTTCCCTCCCCAGAACTTTGCCTGCCAGTGTTGAAATGCGTGTGATCCTTCTTTGGATCTATCTATCTCTCTGCCCTGCCTGGCCCTGAATACTCCAAGAGCAGGCCCCATTCCCTCCCATGTGTTTGTGTTCCAGCTCCTAGCACAGGGCCGGGTTTGCAGGAGACACTCAATACTATTTGTCAAACGAAGGGAGGCAGGTCATCCCTGGATTGTCCCTCCCTTCTCAACTTCTGTTTCCAATTAGAGGTCTGTTACAAAATGAAAGTTAAAAATCACTCACTGCCCTGAAGCAGGGTGCTCATTCAAAGAGAAGGAGGTGAGCCGGGGTGGACATATAGCTAAGTGGTCCAGCACTAGCTTAACAGGTGCAAGGCCCCTGGTTTACCCCCAGTGCCAACAGACAAAAAACCCAACAAGTCAAAACAACAAAACAAAAAACTGAAAGCTGTGAGCTGTCAGAAAGACTAAATTCCAATGGAGTGATTATGGGCCAGGTCCCTTCTGGACTTCATCATGTCATCTGTCAGATGATCAGCTTATGCTAGAATTCAAGGGGCGCCTCTACACATCTCATTTTGTGCCAAGATCACAGCAACCCCTGTGTCTGGCAGCCCTATTTAGACACTGCCCAGATTTATTGTTGTTCTTGAAACACATGTTTTTCTTTTCAGGTGGTGTCTCACTGTGTATTTGAGGCTGAACTTGAACTCACTTTGTAGCCCAGGATGGCCTCAGATTCATAGCAATCCTCTTGCCTCAGCCTCCCACATGCTGGGATTACATGTGTGAGCCACCACGCATGGCCTTATTGCTGTTCTTTACAGAGCCATGTTTTTTATTCCCCCGTTTCTGTTCCTCAGCCTCCGTCTCTCTGTGTGAAAAATGAAAGGAGTTTGATATGGGAATTTATTTCACCTCCAATGCCCCCAGAGCCAGGCACAGTGGAACAATCCAGTCATCCCAGCATTTGGGAGGCTGAGTCAGGAAGATCACAATTTGCAACCCATGCTGAGTTACACAGTAAGACCCAGTCTTCAGAAAAGAAGATAGACTAAAGAAAGCCTCTGGGATTCCAATGAGGATTTTCCTATGGTGATTTCACCCTTCTCTCTAGTCCGTGAGCTCCTTAAAAGTGAGAGACTATTTCTTTTCCCATACCCAGTGACCAGTTCAGGGCTTGGTAATTTAGACATACAATAATGCATTTGTGATGTATGGCTGGAGGGCTGGGTAGAGAGGACAGACTCAGTGGATAGTGAAGTCTGTTCTTCTTGCTCAACATCACATGGAAACCCGGCATGGTGGTGCACGCCTGTAATCCCAGCACTTGGAAGGCTGAGTCAGGAAGATTGCTGTGAGTTTGAGAACAGCCTGAGCTACATAGTGAGTTCCAGGTCAGTCTCAACTACATAGTGAGACCCTGTCTCAAAAAACCAGAAAAAAAAAAATCCCATGGAAAATCACAAAAAGGCTGAATGATGCAATAGAATATTATCACCAGAAAAAGACCAAAGTTGGAGACCTCATAGTATCCAATTTAAAACATTAGGGTAAAGCCATAGTGATTTGGCCTATGTGATATATTGGTGCAGGGATAAGCATATAGACCAATGGACCAGAATCAGAACTCCTATAGGTAATCAACAGCTGTAGTGATGTTTGTCAAAAGTGCCAAGGCAATTCAATTAAGGAAAGATTTTTCAACATCCAGTCCTAAGATAAACTAGACAGCCACGTGTGATAAAATTAAAAGTTTATCTCATACCAGACACAAATCTTAATGAACAATGGATCATAGACTTGAATTTAAGAGCTAAAATTATACAACATTTATAGGAAAGAGAACAATTCCAGGACCTTATGTTAAGCAAGAATTTTTAGATGTGAAACCATAAGCAATCCATCAAAGAAAGAAAGTGAAAAATTGGACTTCTTCAAATTTAAAAACTTGAGATTCTGCACCTGTATGGCCATCAGTGGGGTGGGGTGGGGCTGTTGACTACCACCACATTTTTTCTTCAGCTTTAATTGAGTTTATTGGTACATTTTAGGGATACAGTACAGTTACATTCATTGTTGGGAT